AAAACTGTGTTCAAAGTGATTGAAATCTTGGTTTGGGGTTTCTTCGTTTGGTTATGGAGGCGTCTGGCCGAGTGAGTTGCTATCAACTTGACCTTTCCAGGCTCTGAAGAAGGCGAAATTCGCCGAAACGTCAGCTTAATCGTGAACAAAGAACAATAACACCTCGCGTTTGCTCAAAAAAATACGAACAAAATCACATTAGATTCATTTTCCTTCTGTTTGTTTCTTCTGCTCCACAAACACTTTTTGCATATTCATGCTTAGTATTAAGCTTAGAGTTTCTTCATCACGGATGCTTTGCTAAGCGTCCGCCAAGAAAACTATCTTCCACATTTATGCTTCTTGAACAACGGCTATTGAGAAGCGTTTATTTCTCTTCATAAATCCGAGGGCAATTCAGTTGCTTGATGTACAAACATTGTGTCACTGAGACTCCAGCCAATGAGCAATGTGCTAAGATAGATATGCTTCACATATACAAATGCATGGGTCCTGCGACGATTCCTTGCTCATATTACGAAGAGAATAACAAAGAAAGCTACCGCTGAAGAGACGATTCTCGAAGGCTTTGCGGTTAAGTGCGCCTTTGTACATTGGTCTTCCTAGCGAATTTTCAACTTATGAGAGACACTCACACATTTTTTTCATAGAGATAGACAGTCGTAAGGCAGAAAAAGAGGACTTTATTTGCTAACCGTAGACTGACTGCCCATTGCTCAGCCACTTTTCTTGGGTGTAGATGATTATGCACGTATTGTTGAGAACATTATAAGGTCCGCCTAACCTCGAGCATATACGATGTTGAACTTAAACTGAAAATTAAATACAATATTCTGTTCTGCAATGCAGTGGAGAGAAAATTCGCGACATATAGAGTCCACGTGGGAACACACAAAACCAAGTTGCATGCGGCGTCTTAGGCAGTTGATTGTTTCAGATCTGTCAAGCAATGTGCTTTGTGCATCAGCGTCGTATAATTCATCGTGATCTGAAGCCACAGAATCTGCTTGTTGACGAGAAGGGCACTATAAAAGTGGCCGATTTGGGATTGTCGAGATCGATCGCCATCCCGATTCGCATGTACACTCATGCGGTGTGTTCTTGATTCTTCGCCATTCTTTTCAGTTATGCTTTCTTGTTGATATGACTCACAGAATTTTAGTTCTTTATATAGATTAATCTACTAACAACAACGTGGGAGCAGGTTATTCATAGGTAGCCTGTAGCCGCTGATATAGTGAGCATTTGTTTTCCGATCAACGTTCACCATATCTTTTTCGAACATTCTTTTTAGAAGAAGAGGTTTTTATAGCAACGTATATAGTTTCACTATTTTTGAGTGAAATTCCGGAATCTCTCCTCACGACGCTGTACAGGACGAAGCTAAACACATGGGAGAGGATGTATAACCTAGCCGATCTCGTCGTTCTCAAAAACCTCTAATGAAATGCGACCACGTTCTCCTAGAACCAAAATTCCTCAATGAGCAAAAAGAGTGGGAAGCTAAAAGGTTTATTAATTGAAACTGCAGTAATATTACAAATTGTATTGGTTTACTTCTTTAGTTTGCTTGGGAAGGATATCGTTATCAGCAGCAATATCAATATGCATTGTCGGCACGCCGAATATGTTCACGATAGTGTCAAGGAGGTCGGAATTAACAAGATCACCAGGAGACAAGGATTGTAGAATAGAACCTCAAAAATCTTCTACCTGACAATCAAACTAAGAGCTGAAGTGACCACATGCAGCCACTGACACATGTTGTCGCTTGGTAAACACTGGAGAGAAGAAATGAAGAACGATTCCAAGATAAAATTGAGAAGATCACTTGCAATCACTCTTCCGGAACTTTGTCAATTAGGGAAATTGTTTGCTTTCCGCACTGGACAGAGAAATGGCTACATATCGATAGGCAGTGAAAGTGTTCATCACAAAGTTATAAATCCCAATTCTCTAAAATCTCGTCTAGCCGCCTCTGTATTATATCGAGGATAAGGACTAGGGTAAAATATTTACTGAGAAAAAAGTAAACCAAATGCCTCGGCAGTGTAGTGTGTAACACATGAGCCCCGGAAAGGGTAATCGCAGCTTCGAAACTGGTCTGGGGTCCGAGTTTTACAAAGTTCTCAGCGTCATTGAGGTGGTTTTTGACATAATACCCTGCTATAAAAAACAGTAGGCAGTGTATGAAAAGCTATACATTATATTGACGACTGCTGCGTTGTCCCAACAGTTATTCTTCTCGATGTTCGACACGTTATTCCATTGGCAGCACTCACATTTTAAAGAATTGGGCGTAAATATCTAAAAAAGAAAGCTGCCTCCAATATTCAGCTCATTGGGCCGGCTTTTCAACTCTTAACTATGGAGAAAAACGTCTTTGGTAATTGAACTGCCAATAGGGCTATGTTTTTTTATCAAGGAAGAGGCAGGGAGAGTACGGCAACTATCATGCAACCCATTGTCTGTACTCTACAAAATCTCCGCTATGTCATTCTAAACCGAGTTGACAGATCACTGGACATAAATCTTCCATTTTTCCCTATCGCGTGCAAGAGCAGACCAGTGGGTTCTCTTCGCTCTAACCGCTCGTTTGAGCAACATACCTTTATTCTTGGGTGTCTGTGCAAAACTCTGACCATCAGATCGCTTGTTGCTTGCGGTTCATTTGATATCACGAAGAATCCGGTCACTAACAGCTTTTATCCATCGGTTGTCGTTCTACGGATTACGTGTCCACCCCAACTTATTTTTGAGAGCTTGTCTTATAGCACTGCGCTCTTGATTTTTGATCGCTGGCGTAGGTCAGAACTTCTGATCCCTTCCCTCACTTGTGTTAAACGGAATACTCCTAGCATCGTTCTTTTGCCTGCGTGTTCAAAACTGCTGAGTGGTCTTCATCCTGGATACGCAGTAACAAGGTTTCTGAGGCAAGAGTTAAAGAAAGGGGGTGATCGTGTAGCCGAAGACGGCATGGAGTCACGTGTTTCTAGTCTTCTTCACTGTTTCGTATCACTATGCTTCGCAAGCTTCTCGCTTTTTCCTGCTCAACTCTGGAGCTACGTCGTTCATCAAGTTGATTCCTTAGCCTAGATAGGTAGATGTAAGTGGAGCATTCGGAGATATTCATTCCGTTGAGTGAATAGGGCATATGAAACGAATCCGTTCTTCATGAACATCGTTTCTGTGAGATTTATTCGAAGACCAATCTTTCCACAGGCTTTATCAAAGTCGGGAAACATACGTTCTGTTTGGCTAATCTTTGGTGTTATACGGACGATGTTATCAGCAAAGCGAAGATAGTGTGATTGTCGACCATCGATTTTCACTTCTATGTTGTCCCATTCCAGTGTTCGCATGACGTCTTCGAGGGTGGCGGTAAATAATTTTGGCGAGGTAGTATCACCCAGTACAAACCCTCTTCTGACCTTGATGTTAATATCGTTGTAGAATGGTGATAGCATAGTTGTGAAACTCTTGTATAGCTCACGAAGAAACTTTATATACTGTGTTGGGAGGCTCTGGTTATCCAAAGCTTCCATGATTGCTTCTATCGCAACTAAGTCAAAACCTCAATGATGCTGAGATATTTGCAAAACTCCGGACCGCACGTGTCTGCGGTGGGGAACGAACGCGCTACTGTCCTTTCCGGGGAGTAACGCGTTCACCATCACACCATGCGTGTTCTTCGTTTTGCCTGTCTCTCAGCTATTTCTATCGATCTCTGCCATCAGCAATCAGCCGTCAACGGGAAGGACCAACATGGTGAGGTGGCGAACGCGTTACTTCCCGGAAAGGACAATAGCACGTTCGTTCCACATCGCAGATACCTGCGGTTCGGAGTTTTCAAATATCTCAACATCATTGGAGCTATATTTTGCAATATACTTTGCCATTAAAAAAGTAGGCAGTAAAATAAAAACGGTTAAGATTGAGTCAAAGGCTTTTCCTTGATAGGTGAAAGGGAAAGAGAGCGGTCTCTTGTGCTCTCGCGAAACTTCGGTAAGTCTTGTTATTGTGTCGATGTGGTCCTTATGGAAATCCTGTTTACTCACATGGCTATCATTCGTCCAGTGTTTTGCTAATCCTGTTTGGGATAACTCGAGTAAAAAGTTTGTAGACGACAGACTGCAAGAGGATTGGGAGATAGTTGCCGATATCGTGGAAGTCACCGTTCTTGAGCAATAGCACGCTCTTGCTGGTCTTACATTAAGTAGCAACCTTGCATTCACATAGGTAACGTGTGAAGAGCCTAGCCAGTGTTTTTGTGAAGACTGATGGAAGGTTCTCCAAATGTTCAGATCGTATCCTGTCCGGGCCTGGTGCTGGTCCATTTTTCACCGACGAAATGGCATGTCGAATTTCAGAAGGGAGAACCGGTGGTACAACATATCCATTCCCCTTTATTTCATATAAGGACGAGGGTTGTGTCTATTGAAGGAATCTGAGCAGTAATCGTAAATGATTTTCTCCATTGCCTTTGTTAAAGCTTCAACTGCTTTGTCTGGGCGTCAGAGTGCAATCATCTTGGCTTTGTAATTGGCGAAGCTTCAGCGGCCTTTGGAATGTCTTTCCAGCCTGTGCAGCTCTTGTTTCTTCGAGATCTTCATTTATCGTCTATCTGCGTTGTTTTGCAAGTTCCTATGTGAGTTGACGGTTGCCTATAGCTCGTACGACTCCACGCTGACGAATCAGGTCGAGTGTTTCAGGAGCTGTAAGTCTCTTCGTGATTTTCGAACTCTCGACTTTCACAGCGCTAACCAGAAGATGTTGAATGAGCCGACCGTATTTAAATGGACAACAGCATCTTTACAACAGACGGCTAATGAAGTGAATAAATCTCAGTTTACGGTGGTTATGTGGCTTGGTTTTTAGATTTAGCCGCTTCTTTTCCTTTCCGTGAGAAATTGAACCTAGCACGAAGCAGGAGGAAGTCTGATCTTGCGAAGAATTTTAGGGCAACAGCGTTGTCGCTAGGCAGAACCTTCGATTTACTGTAACGTGGTTTCGATAGAACGATAATCTTTAAGAATGCATGGCCGTTTCTGCAGAACTTCTCGAAGTCCACATAGAACACTTCGACTTCGTCTTCGTCAAAGCTTAATGTCGGTGCGTAAGCGACGAGGATTGTCATAGCCGGTATTGATCTGCAACTCCTCAATCGTAGACGTTCGATTCGGGTTGATAGTTGTTCGAGTGAATCGGTGTTCATGAAAACTCGTGTTGACGAGAACGTGTAGCATGTTCCGAAAAACAGTTCATCTGCGATGTCATAGGCGGCGTTGTTGAATAGGCGTCGTCTTCTTGTCTCGGCCAGTCCGATGACGTCGTCAGTCCTTCCTTGCTTGCTGATCAAATCTTCTACGGAGGACCCAGGTGGAAGTCTGCGTGTATTGTAGGTACAGTTTGGAGTGGCTCTGAGATCTTAGCAGTCTCTCCGTAGTCGTCCTACTCAACTCTGCCGAATCAGGAGCACTTTCGTGGTCAGAGAAACGAAAGCTGTTTATTTTGTTGCGTTTAGTTTTTTGACAACTACGCATAGCATGCTGAGCCCTAAACATGAGGTTTTGGTGCATTCACGGGTAGCGTACCAGTTTCTCCCCAAGGAGACGGGTAGTTTATTTGTTAGAGGAGCCTCCTAACCTCCTCTCATATAATTCTCCGTTACTTGATTTCAGCCTCTTGTCTGAATTGACTCGTGGGATACACTTCACATAAACGAGAACGCATCGATGTACTCATGCATGAATACGTTTTCCGAAATAGAGAAACTACGTGATAAATCGGTGCAGAAGAAACAGGGAGTCCATCATCTGGATCCACCTGCGTTTCAGGAAAGCAAAGGTCGCTTTTGGTCCACGATTAACCCTCTAACCGCAACTTGAGGAAGACGACAGGTTGGCTCGCGATTAAGCGGCGTGAGATCAGTCCATGAGGAGGATCTGAGGAGGTTGGACGTCATTGTTGAAAATTGCATGGAGTCTTTAATTGTGTATTCGAAAACCATCTACGTTGAAAAAAAGATTGCAAAAAATTTTCATCAATAGGAATCTCAGGTTCTGGGATAGCTTGGTATTGGATCATTCTTTAAAGATGCTCGCATAATTACGGAATTCGATGGCGAACTGCACAGAATGAAGTGTTTCTACTACATCAGCTCTGTTTTTTGTTGCAGGTGGTGACTTTGTGGTATCGTTCACCAGAGATTCTGCTCGGCACAAGTCGTTATGGAGCTGCAATCGATGTTTGGGCGGTCGGGTGTATCTTGGCCGAAATTGCGTTTAAGAAATCGTTATTCAACGGCGATTCCGAAATAGACCAACTGTTCCAAATATTCCGGTACGGTTCGACATTGACCTCAGTCCACCAAAGCTGCAATTTTAATTTCAGATTACTTGGCACACCGACGGAGAAGGAATGGCGTGGTGTGAATAAACTGCCGGAGTTCAAGCACACATTCCCGAAATGGAAGAAGAACGAGCTCGCCGAGCGCTTGAACCCATTCTGCGATGCGCGGCTAGTTGACCTGATTCAGGTGTAACCGTTTCACTCCTTCAGATCTATAGAACTATTCAAATTCAATTCAAATTGTTGTCCTTACGGCTTAAGTTCATTGCCCACTCAAGTACGCAATCATTCTTTAATAAAATAATATTTTTAGTTAATGTTGAAGTACGACCCATCGCTTCGTATTTCGATGCGGAATGCCTTGTATCATAAATACTTTGACAATGTAGGTTGCAAAATGGCAATATCCAAAAAGTTTAGAAAAACTAATGAGGTGAAAATAATAGGCAAAATACGGAGAGAGGTCCACGACTTTGCCAGGTACACGTGCCGGGTACGGAAACTCATCTAGTTCTCGAAAATTAGTTATAGATAGGAGTTATCGTTAAGGCCTCGTTCAAAGAGATTAGCCCTCAGCGATGAGTGATGAACACAAATTTCATTCTATTCCCTAAGGGACCGCACCGCCTACCCTCCACACCAAGTGTTGGACATTACCAGTGTAGGTAACTTAGACACACAATAACTTAGGCAACTGAATGATTACTCTTCACTACACCGTGAGAATTTGAGCTTTTCTCCCATTCATGTAGTACAAATAATACGTCTTCCAAAGAAGTGATCGGATTCTTGCGTTGGTTCGACTGCAGCAATGAGATGTGTTTTGATGTCTTCCATCTTCAACGAAACGCCGAGTAATCAGTGATCGTAGTTCATCCTGACCTCCAGCTTTTGCGAATTAGAAGAAATCTTGTTCTCTTGCTAAATAAAGTTTCCCATATGATAACGATGCTAGTCATGGCAGCGTTAGTGGCGATTATTGAAGCAATCTACTTTTTCCACTACTAATTATGGGAGGTTGAGATCGGAAATTGCTAGAGTATTACAACAATCTAGTGAAAAATACCAGTTTAGTTGTGATCCACCTTCGCCGAACTTTGCGCAGCGGTTGAAATGAGCTGCCAGGTGAAGTCGAAAGAGAGAGAATCGAAAAACTTGTCCTTCCATGGTGGCTTGTATGTGCTATTAAACAATGCATTCCCTTGAACATCCTTACTTGCCTTTGCCTTAAGACCATCGATTACTTAAAATTAAAATATGTATGGAAAATTCTTAATTTTGTTAAGCGAGTCTTCTACTTTCCCTCCTGCTGTTCTTACAAGATTTGTTCCCCACACCGTTGAAGTGATTAGATATTTAATAAATGTGCGTTAATAATACTAATATGTGCAAAACAGTCATGATTTCAGGTAGATACCAGCGCCGTGCCCGCCGGTAGCTACCGTGGCGAGCTACTTTTCGATACCTAGATTTGCACATGAATAAGGAAATGTCTGTTCACATCGATGGTCTTAGTTTCACAACACTGTACTCATGATCATGACTGATTGTCTGAAATAAATCCTCAGTTACCAACTGTAGACATAGTACAGCGTAAATCACCCATATGGAAAACACTCCGAAATTCTATCGGTCATTGACTTTTTTATCTAAGGACAGTGTCAATCAAACACAAACATTAATAAAAAGACCATTAAAATGTTAAATATTTATGCACTTGAAACCAATGCCGTGTACATCGATTCCTTATATAAGGTTAGAACAGCCTACAAAATATTCGTATCCAAGCACACATAGCTACTAGAAAACACTCATGGATATCACCACCTACACAAAAGCTTGTCTACCTGCAGTGTGAACCTTTTCAACAGAAACATATCCTCAAACGTGAAAAAACGTTGACCAATACAGTGGATTTCTTCGTAGATGTGACGTATATGTGACGTGGTCTCTGCCCAAGTTCATAAGTCTACCTACCGTTGGATTAAGAAAGTATTTATCTTATAAACCCATGATGAAATGACCGTTACATTACCATGCTATGGCCTACCGAGAACAATAGGACCACTATAAATGCAATGAAATGTCACCGAAGACGGAAACTCTGCAAATGTCACCACTCTAACACATGAAAAAAACAGCACAGAAAAAACAATAAAAGCAATCTGATCAGCACTTCCGTTGTAAATGAACAATTAAACAACAAAATAAGGATCAGTTGATGAGAAAGAGCTTATGACGTTTACACGATACTCCGAGAAATGGTCGACATTGAGCTTGGTAAATGAAGAGGTAGATTACATCAGCACAACAGTAAACGTATTAAGCTCCTTAGGAAAAAACTAAGAACAAACGAAAACATCGCACAATAGGCATTCTACGGCGAGAAATTCTACCAGAGCAGCAAAACGTTGTAAAAGAGGCAAGATTTCCAGGCAGTGGCGATCAACTTACAAAATACCAAGCTACGTTATGGGAAAATACAATTGCGAAATCCGTCGTTGTTAGTATTATAGACACAGTTCCAATGAATATTTATTACTTATATCGCGGCTGTAAACAATCCGAACACACTGGTTGCAGTGCAAATTGGCTTCAGTGCAAATCGATCCTTATTTTTGCTACTTAATTGTTCATTCCCAACAGAAGCGATCTTTTCGCAACTCTAGCAATCTAATCATCGCTTCTGTTGGGAATGAACAATTAAGTAGCAAAAATAAGGATCGATTTGCACTGAAGCCAATTTGCACTGCAACCAG